GTGTAAGATGTAACTTTGAAATAAGAGTGAAGTGCCGATTTAGTCCCTGAACCATCCCCCTAGTGACAATTAGGTCACTGAATTATTTTTTCGATAAAATGAGTCCCTAAATTCATTAAAAATTGCTAATTTCATCCCTACTATTATATGCAAAACTATTTTATCCATTTTTTTTGTCAATTTAAGTCACTTGACACACTTTAGAATGTAATATAGTTATTTTCTCACCTATAAGCCCTTAACATTTTCCTTAACATTTTATATAGGTTGTGAATCTAATGTCTAATTTACCCTCCAAAGTTAACTCATTTCTTTATGAAAAATCAATCTACCCCCTAATGTGTATCACATGCAAGTAATGTGACTTAAATTTACGAAAAATTGAATAGGGTAGCTTTGAATATAATATTAAGGATGTAATTGGCAAATTTTTATAATTCATTTTTCTGAAGAAAAAAAAATAGTTTAGGGACCTAATTTTCACTCATGTGATAATTTAGGGACTAAATTGACAATTCACCCTTGAGATAATGTTAAAAAGACATTTTTCATATGTGTTTATCCTAAACATTGTTCCTGGACGTTGTATTGTTTGAGTGGATATCATATACTCCAATAAGATTGGTACACACTATGTCTACACAATTGTCTAGTCTCAAGTCATTAGCGAGAGTAGCTAAGACAAGTGTGTAGGTGCTTAATAAGGATTAAGTTTACTAAACGTGATCTCCTCGAGATCTTATTTATGTATACTAGATACATACTCATGTCAATAAGAACTCGATTGCTACAATAATGCAAATTAATCCTTGGATATGAGGCATCACACATGTCTTGTGATTAGGTCCTTATTCTTAGATTATGTTAAAGACACTCTGATGTGAGAGGGTATCCATGACATCGTTAGAGTTAAGCTACCTAATCATAAAGGCAGATGAATGTACAACAAAGAATATCTAATCTTCACAATTGAAGGAGAATGCTTATCAACATGATTCAGAAGTCGTTGCCCAAAGCACCATGATTTAGAATGAAGTTCCAAACCTACTGAGTTAAATCATAAGTGATCACTTAAGCACTTGACATAAAATAAGCTAAATAATGTGATCGAGAGCATTGTATTAGAGAATGATTGCATTACATTGTAATTACAACGGAATAGGTTCTCTTGTAATTAGTACATTAATCACCATGATATGCAACTAGGCATCTCTCATGGTCTATGAGATCCTCAAAGATGATCATTGTTGTAATCACAAAAAGGTAGATTAAAAGATGAGTTTCAAATCCAGCAAAAGAATTAGAATAATTAATTAGATTAATTAACATGGAAAAATAATTAATTAAACAATTTAATTAACTATTATGATGGTTATATGTCTCAAATTGGCCTCGAAAGAGTTTTGGGAGTTAGATGAGATTTTCACTTCAATGGGAGGGACCCACCACCAAAGATGTAAAATAAATATGTACATTTAGGTTTTTATTTTCATTTCTAGTCAAAATATATCTTTTACATCTCTCTCCACTAAAGGTTTTCCGACCAACCAAAAATGCAAAATACACATTTTAAGCCATTTTGCATCTTCCATCGAAGTTGCCCTCATTGGGAAATTATTAGTAGGGTTGGGTTGGGTTCGAAACGGTTCGGTTTTTTGTCAAAACCGAAACCAAACCGAAATTTCGATTCGATTTAATTTTTTTCAGTTCGGTTTTTTTTCGGTTTTTTGTTCAAAAAAAATTATGTAAATGGAAGGAACTTGCCTAATGCCTATCAACCTCCCAATTCTCATATATCAGCAAATACTGAAAGATATATTCTTTAAGGAAATGTACATCGCCAGGATTCAAAATTCTAAAACTTTAAAATTTGCAAAATCATGAAATAATTCAACAAATTAACTGATCGATGCAGATCGAAACAAAAACAAAGCAAATGGGTTCGTCTAAATGCCATAATCGGACTCCAATATCGCATGCTCACATTCAAATTCAAAGTCAAGTCCACAATAGATCTAGAAAATTCCAAAACATATTCAGAGAAAAATACAAACTTTTCCACCTTAAATTACATAAAATTCAAATGGGTAACCATAAAATTAAAAACCCATAAACTGAAAAATAAATCAAACCAACAAACGGAGATAGGAGATTGACGGCTTTGGTTTAGAGCCACCATGTCGTCTCTTCTTCTCTTGCGGGGGTAAAACTGAAGATGAGGAGAGAGAGAGAGAAGGGGGGGAGAGAGAGAGACTGATGAAGCAAAGCTAGAGCCAAGGTAAAACTGAAGATGAGAGAGAGAGAGAGAGAGAGAGAGGAGGCAGCGGAAGGGGAGAGAGAGAGTGTGTGTGTGTGTCTGAGAAAAGGTGAAAAATGAAATGGGAGTAAGCGACGGCTAGGGTTTGTAAACTTAAGAAATTTTATAAAGCATTAAATGTTAGAAACCTATAAATAACGTATTGGTACAATTATAACAACACAAAGCTTACGGTCCATTTGGCTTAAAGCAACAATCCCAGCTTGGAGGTCAGGCGTTCAAAACCTTGACGCCAACATATTTTTAAGGAATTTATATATGGTTTTTTTTTTTCGGTTCGGTTGGCAGTTTTGGTTCGATTTTTTTCGACTTCAGTTCGGTTCGGTTTTCTGTTTTTTTCGGTTTTTGGTTTTTTGAACCCACCCCTAATTATTAGGCAATATTGTACTATCAGTCATGCATGATACTTCCTTTTAAAATTTGACATTTGGACCTATTTAACAAAACTGGATTTATAATTTTAGGAATTAAAATAAATAAAATACTTGAAAAAAAAAAACTTAGTCTGATCCTCTTTCTCTCTTTCTTCCTCCGCCGGTCTGGTCCTATTTTATGTATAAACGATTTGGCTCTAGCTCTATCTGATCCTAACAAAATTCCTCCCAATTGATCCTCATTTGATTTGCTACTTTTACTTTTTTTCACAACAAATTTCAAAATTTCGAAGAATTGTTTGTGTTTTGGCTTGTGATTCGAGGGCTTTGAGGTCAAAACCATGGTATGAAATGCCGATATTATCGGCAATATTTCGCCGATAATATCGGTTTTGTGAGAGCAATATTTTCACACTTATCAACTGAATTTTCGTCAAAATATCGCTATATTTTAGGCTGGTGCGAATCGGAGAAGAACGCCGGAGCTTCTATAGCTCTGGCCGACTGTAAAAGAGCACCTTAGACTCCAATCTAAGTATCAAAATGAAATACAAGACAAGAGGAATATTTTTATAACTTCCGTTTGCTGTGAAACGGTTGGAGGTGTTCGGAAAGTTCCTCGACACTCACGGCCTCGCCGGAGCTGGTGTGCCTTCCTCCGGGTCGATCTTGTTCTAAAACCTTGTTAAAAAAATGAGATAAAACTTAGTATATCTCAACCACACAACATCCAAGATGAATTGAGGTAACCCGGGGCTTACCTAACCGGAAAAGGATCAAGAGAACTCGTCGAAGAGTTCATGGTTTCCACTGTCCTAGCTGCACTAAGAGAAAGGGAGAGAAAAACGAGGTTTAGATGGTGATGATGATGCCATTGACAGAGTACTACGAAGGGCGTAAAGGGCGCCGATGGGGATGACCGACTTGAGGTAGAGGTTATGAGAGATAGAGACAGCGCTGACGAGGCGGAAGACCCGGACGAGGAGGAAGGCGAGGGAGGAGCAGAAGGCCATGTGGGAGAAGGATCGAGAGACTGAGGTCTCTGTGCGTGTGTGTGGGAGAAGGGAGAAAGGATAAGAGAGAAAGATCCAGAGGCTGAGGCCTCTGTGTGATTGTGTGATCTCTGTGTGCGTGTGTGGTGGCGTGTGAGAGTCTCTGACTCTGTGTGTGTGTGTGTGGTGGCTTGTGAAAAAAAAAAAAGCATCCAAATAATTCAACTTTTACAACTTATACAACTTTTACTACTTTTACAACTTGTACAATTTTTGACAAGACAAAAATAATGGTGGTTTCATCAAGATTCAAAACCGTGTGTCACGCGTGATATTTGTTCACATTCTCAGAGGTGGAGTATCAGATCATCACACATTTTTTGACCCTTCGAAAATTGAAAAACCTTTATTACACCTTTTCGTTTTTTGTTGGGATGGAATCGAGCGACTCAATCTTAATATCCCATTCCCTTCTTGTTAGGATTGAAAAACCTCTATTACACCTTTTCGTTTCTTGTTGGGATTGAAAAACCTCCATTTCCCTACCCTTCATATCCCATTCATGTTGGGATGGAATCGAGCGACTCATGGAAAGAATCCGAGACTCAATCTTCAAATGATTTTGCTTATGGACAACGTCAACCAATCTCGGATCCATATGGTGGCATGTTAACAATTACATGCAAAACTATTTTGGGGATTTATCATTTGATGACTACTCTTCACAATACACTTACTCTACATATAAGTCACTCATGTATCTTACCATGCAATGTATAAAGTATAAAATATTGTACTAATTCATTATATATAAATGATTATGATGTGTTTAAATTTCTTTCATTAATTACTACATATTTTCTACACTTACAATGTTTGCCAGCTCGCTATATAATCAACTTAAATCAGTTAAATCCATCATGCAATGCATTTCCTACCAATTTTTTGTAATAAACTAATAGATAATTGACTAAATAAACATCCTATAAAGTTTCAATAAAAATTTCCAAGTTTTTCTTACAATTTCCGTGATTTTTATTCAATTTTTATCGATATCGATAATATTCCGATATTTCCATCAAAATTTCCGTATTTATGGACTATCGCTATTTCCGATATCATCAATATTTTATACCTTGATCAAAACCCAGACGGTGAAGAACGTGTCTGTACCGATGTCAGAGTGTGGTGTTGCATAATTCAGATGGCGAAGGATGTATCTTTAATTTAATATTAGAATGTAAATTATAAATTCAGTTGTGTTAAAAAAGTTCACATGTCAAATTTTAAAAGGAAGTATCACGGATGACAGCATAGACCTAATAATTTCTCCTAATCACCCCCTAATTACAATTCTCATTTTCTTGATGTCTTCATTAATACAAAAGTTCAGCATTATCGTGCATTTTTTAATGCCGACCCCAATCGTATTTTATCCCTCTCAAGACTTCCCACCAAATCACCAAGTCTCTGTGTCTCTCTCTCTCCACCATCTGAAAACAAAAGGAACCATATTTATTTCAGTTAATGATACTCACGTCCCACATTGCTCATCTCCCCCAATGAGACCCTTTCCCTTTTCTTTCAATCCAATTATCATCCAACTCTCGCTCGCTCCTCTGTAAAACCTTGAACAAGACCAAGCCAAAGAAACAAACTTTGAAAATGCTTTCTTTTGTTTTTTAATCGAGTTAAAGCAAAAGGGTTGCTTTCGTTGCCAGCCATGACTGAGGTCCTCCATTCCCCTTCCCATTTTTCTTCCTCCCCAAGACCCAGCTCCTCTTCCTCTTCCTCTCCTCCTTCCAATTCTTCCTTATCCTGCGCAGCCCCGTCTTCTTTATCCGGCGCACCCCGGCCCACCGAAGACGACGACGATTGCGACTCTGCGGCGACTTGCTGTGAGGCGAAGGACCGTGACAAGCGCAGAAGGGAGCAGCTTTCTCTGTTGGCGTTGCTGGTAACCTTTTTCAGGAAATCTTTGATTCCTTGCAAGAGTGACAGGAGGGAGCTTTGCGCTATGGAGATCGGCTGGCCAACCAATGTGCGACACGTGGCACATGTAACCTTTGATAGGTTCAATGGGTTCTTGGGTTTGCCCGTGGAGTTTGAACCCGAAGTGCCCAGGAGACCTCCCAGTGCAAGGTAACTTTACTTTTTACTTTTCTGGGTGGAATTATGTCAATGTGGGCTTGACCCAATTACTGCGATTGATAAATTATTGGTTTTGGTTGAAGGGTTTTGCTTGCATTTGGTTTTGGTTGATGGGTTTTGCTCGCATTTGGTTTTGGTCGATATTAAAAATATTGTGAATTTCTTGAACTTAACTATTGCATGTTTTATAGTATTGTTTTCTTTTGCTATGGCATTATTGAGATTCTGAGGGTGCACTACAACCGGTTTCTGATTTTGTCTGTTCGGTCGGGTTTGATTAAACCTCGACATTGTGAGGGTACATGCACTGCCTGATTATGTTCTATTGACCTCCTTGATTTTGGTCTAGGTATGACTTGGTCAAAAGTATTGCTTAGTATAATCTTCTCAATGGGTTGATCAAGCTGGTGTCTTTAATCCGGTAAGGGCAATGACATTGACAATTGCGGATTCCATCTCATCCAGCATCATGGCAGGTGAATGAGATTAAACTTTGCAATTGTACAATGTGTAAGGAACCCTTTACAACATTACATGAGCTCAACTATTTGTTTTTAAATTTATTTGTTCCCGACTCAAAGTTAGTGCTTGTTTTCCTTGAAAAGATAACGTGTATCATTCAAGTATTAACATTTCTGCCTTTCTGTTTTTCCCTTGACTTTAAGTTTTTAATATGTAGTACAACTGTTTTTGGAGTATCCACGGAGTCCATGCAGTTGTCATACGACTCTAGAGGTAATAGTGTGCCAACAATTCTCTTGCTTATGCAAGGACGGTTATATGCAGAAGGAGGCCTTCAGGTATTCACTTATTCCCTCCATGCTTTCCAGGTACATATCACGAATTCTGATTTAAGAATTGGTAAAACTATAGTTCTGGTTCATCTGTTGTATTTCCTGTGTGATATGGGGTAGTTCCTGTTCTATATTATTTCCCCTGAAGTTTTCTCAAATTGTTCAATTATACATGTAGGCGGAAGGGATTTTCAGAATTAATGCTGAAAACAGTCAAGAGGAGCATGTAAGGGACCAATTAAATAGGGGAGATGTACCAGAAGGTATTGATATACACTGTCTGGCAGGACTGATCAAGGTAGAGTTATGAATATGATTGATAGTTAATGTATTGCATCATTTTTGGCATATGCTTGTTCGCAAGAAATATGTGAAGGTTAGCTGATCTGAGTGATGAATTAGGATAGTCCAAAAAGGGTTGTACTTAATAGCTTCTTTTGGACTAATTATTTCCTTTTCAAGTTTTCAGAAATTAGGTGCCAAAAAAATCCCAAAAGAAGTTCAATGTATATATGAATTTAATGTGTCTTAAACAACTCTATGTGTTTTAAGACTTCAACAATGAACTTCAAGTGTATGCTTTTGTCAGCTTGTTTTACAAACTCTTAATTCCAGTCTCAATCTTACACTATTTCACACAACCATTGCAGTTATACATCTGAACAAAATGAAACATACAAAGCTAGAGTCTTTTATATTATATAACTAAAGCGAACTCGTTTGCAGAAGATGTGTTTTGTAGATGATCCCTTTACCATTTTTGCCGGAATGGATTTTGAGTACGTCTAAATAATCAGCTTTTTGTGCCCCTCAACTATATGGACTGGCAGCCGCATTGTACATTATTATGTTGCAATGTAGAGCAAGGAGTTCAAAAGCGTCCTATATTATTTAATACAGGTGTCATGTCTATGAAGTTCATCCTAATAAAGGAAAAGTGAAAAGGAAATCCTATTCTACTATGATTTCTAAGTGTTGCATTAGGTTAAAGTCCACCACTGATGCTGCTTTTGTGATCCACCTCCACCCTTGCAACCTTGGTACATGTACCACCACTTTTCGAGTAGCATGGTCACAAAGTTCTTGACTATTCTAGGCCATTGCATTAATTTTGTGCTTAATTTTGTCATGCTATGACTGTTTCTATGTGTACATTAGCCCTTTGATTATCATGGTAGATGTCACCTTTTGCCAAATATGCTCTTAGGAAAGGACCAAGAACGATCAGAAGGAATCCTATAAATACACACATTGCTGTTGAAGAGTAGTGTATGCTCACTTTAGTCTTTTGCTAAGCCAAATCTCTGCCTCTGTGCTTTCTCACATTGGCTTGACTGATCTGATTGTTGGGGTTGTTGGCTGACTTGACTCTACACTGTCCCCCTCAATGATCCCACTTTCCCCCTTGATTTAATGAACGTTCAAGGCATAAAGAATCGCGTGACAAGAACGGAATGGTTGATCTAATTTTGGCATCAACGTGTATAAATTTAAATGTATTTCCCTAGTTAGTTTGTGAAAAGGAAATTTTCAAATTGCCATATTTTACATTGCTTGGAATATAGTTTCTAAATAAATGTCCAGGTAATGAAGGTCCTGCGATAATTACTTAACTATTTTCAGACTTTTAGTAGTACTCAATTAGTGATTCAATTTCAAGGGAGTTGTCTATGGGATTTGATTAAGTGGGAGTTTCAGACTGGCTCTATAAAGTCGGGGACAAACAATGAAGTTAAATGGAAAAACAGGTGAGATTCCACTATGGTTTGGAGATGCCCTTATAGAAGCCCTTAGAAAAACATTTCACTGGGAATTCATTCTCTCTCTGAAATCCTTCTTATTTTTCAGATTGGGTTTATGGAAGATGAAAGGGTTGGATAATTTTTTATGTTTTCGTTGTTTATGTGCCTCTGTGAATTGTCTTCTACTCAGAACGTGTTTAACTTTATTGTGAATTCTATTTGAAAAGTAAAAACCACAAAGGCTCATGCTAAAAGCACAGTATGAACTTAATTAAGGCGCAACAGTTGACAAATGGGAGCATGATCGTTGTTTTGTCGAGGAACCCTTGAGCCTCCTTTGTTGCGCTTGCGTTAACTCCAGGTATAGTTGGTCAGTTGTCACTATCTTTTATACCTTTCCTCGATATCGAATGGAAGTTCTCAACAATGATTTTGAAGTTTATATACTTGCAGCATCACATGCTCATTTTTTGTTCTCAACCAGAACATTAACTTGCAGGAGACAAGTTCCTCTAGCTGGGGTCCAGGGAAAGTGATGAAGAATATAAAAGAATTATTACTATTTTGAGACCGTTTATCATAATTTAGGGGTTTGTTTAGAAGTAAATTAAGGATTCGATTACTGATTTGATTTTGTTAGAGTTTTGAGAAAGGAGTTTGTTCTCAAATTAGGTTATGGTGCAACTTTTGTGGGACAGATTGATTTATGAAATTATGAAATCATATGGGCTCCCTTTTGATCTTTGCTTCCTTTCTTCTGTTTACCTGGTCTCTCTTCTATATCTTCTTCTCTTTATACTTTACTAAGGTCCTTATTTTAGTTTGCGAAGTCAAAACTTCTTGGATTTTCATTCACTTTCAATTTTGTAATCAGTGCATTTTTTATGGCAATCATTACATTTCTTTTACAAGTCAAACTTCATTGTCTAGTTTTCTTCTGGTGCACGTTTTCTAATGCTGCTCTTGAGTTTGGTGGAAATTCTAGGACTATTGAGTTCGCATGACTTGAATGTTATCTTCAATTGTTTTCTCATGGTTGTGACTCCCACGAAGAGGCATCCATGATTTTTGTGAGCAGCCATAAGGAAAAGTGCTTTCTTGCTGTTTACTTCATCCTGCATCATCTTTATTCTTGATACATTCACCTGATGTTTGATTTTATTTTTTAGGCTTGGTTTAGGGAACTCCCAGCCGGGGTTCTGGATTCTCTATCGCCTGAGCAGGTAATGCAATGCCAGTCAGAAGATGACTGTTCCCAGCTTGTGAGGCTTCTACCGCTGACTGAAGTTTCTCTACTGGATTGGGCCATTAACCTTATGGCTGATGTTGTCCAACAGGAACATCTAAACAAGATGAATGCACGCAACATAGCCATGGTTTTTGCACCAAACATGACTCAGGTGTGTACAGTTTCCTGTTTTTTCTGTCTTGCCTGAAGAGTGCGTTTGATATACCAGTACTGTGGCAAGTATAACTAAGGGCTCGTTTGGATGTGCTTTTAAAATGACCAAAAGCACTTTTAGAGAAAATGTTTTTTGGTTCCAAAAGCACTTAAAGTGCTTTCTGCAAGAAGCACTTAAAGTGCTTTCTGCAAGAAGCACCAGTTATGTGCTTCTTCCAGGAATGACTTTAAGTGCTTTTCCAGAATTTACTTGTATTTTTACTAAGGATTGGTTCCAAAAAAAATTTCACCAAAAGTGCTTTCAGTCATTTTAAAAGCATATACAAACGAGCTCTAATATATCTTCCGAAAGATTGCATGTAGGCTTTCTTATAATCAAATTGCTGACTTGAATACATGCTTTCGCTGCACGTATGAGTTCTGTATTCTTTTCATTCTTTACTTTGGTACATGTTTTAAATTTCCAGTTAGTTCTCATCTTCTTTTGTTCTCATCTTCTTTTTGTTTAATGTTGAAGATGTTACTATGTCATATGTTGTAGGCTAGGCTTTGTACTATATGACTGACGTAGGTGTAAACCGTCAGCGGAACGCCTCCCACTGCTCTAGTTTTACATACATAGAAAGTCATTAAATGTTTTCTGACTAAGTTTGTAATCCCTTATAAAAATAGAAGTAAAACATAAAAATACAATGTTGACAGCAATGAGCCACCGAGGATCACAGATTACTGAATGGTTGGAGCGTTGACGGATATTAACTGAGTTTTTTGGATTCAGATGGCAGATCCATTGACAGCATTGATGTATGCAGTCCAAGTGATGAACTTCCTGATAACACTTATTTTGAAGACACTGCGCGAAAGGAAGGATTTTGTTGTAGAGCCTCCTTTGTGCTATGTAGAACCCTCTGATGAGGATGGACACCAGAGCCCTTCACAATCCTTAAAGGAAGGTATTGGCAAACTTAATGAAGGGAAAGAGCAGTCGGTGTTCATGGAAGAACCTCAATCTGGAAGTTCCTCCAACTCTAATCAAGTCAGTGGGTGTTGCCATGATGTGGTGCAAGATGACTCGTTGGTTAATGAAATGGAAGCTGGCAGAGTCAACAACATGACTTCTGAAGTTCAAGCGCACGACTTCTCTAAGAGCGCGCCTGGTCAATCGAGTGATTCAAATATCAAAATGGTGCCTAAAAGACCAAGTGAACAGCAGTCTGTAATACGCGGAACAGGGCCTATTCAGAAGGCTAGGGGAATCAGCACTCTGAGTCGCATAGATTCAACGATGGAGCGGATTGAAGCCTGGCGGTGAAGAAAAACTCGACCCAACAATTGTGGATTTAACTGATTCTATGACATTGTGTGAATATAAAGTTTGGATGATTTGCAAGACCGGGAAGAGTGTGCATTGTTCATGTATGTGTTTTCTGTCTTGCTGGGTGGTGGTTTGCTTAACCTGTTTCGTATTTCATGGATGATTTGTTAGTATTAACCAACATTGTTAATAGGAGTCTCCATTGGCGTGGTTCCTGATGTATGAGTGTGATCAAACATTTCTTTTTATTTTCTCATTTGGTCAGTAAAAATGAATTCTTGAACCATTTTTCTCACTTTCAGAAACTATGCTAGTATCAGTCGCCCACGAGCAGTGCATGGCCGGAGACCCTCTTAACGTTATCTATCATTAAACAATCAATGGGAACTTGATCAGGAGTGATGCACAAATCTACCAGAAAATTTTAGTGAAATTTAAAAACTTTAACATTTGTTTGATAACCATTTCGTATTTAGCTTTTGGTTTTTATTTTTGTGTTATGATAGAGGTGAAGCACGTGAAAAAAATGAGGGTCTAGAAAAGTGGGAGAAGGTTGGTTGGAGGTATGTAGAAGAAAGGTAATAGGAAAGCAAACAAATTGATAACGGAAAACTATATTAAGTTGTTTTTACTTTTTAGATTTTGTTTCCATTCTTTCTTCTTTATTTTCCTCATGTCTCAAGTAAAAATGTGAAAATTAAAAATTAAATTGTCAACAAACGAGTTTTTCGCATACTATTAATTTAAGTTACCATTGTAGTGGTATCTCAAATCAGTATCACAATTTCATGTAAATAAAGATATACACATATACCCCAATAAGTTGGTACAGTGGAAAGCGATTAAGGTCTGGAATCCCCATCCCAAGTTCGAACTCCAATGAATGCATTCTTTGGAGCTATTGACTCTGCTTTGGTGTCCCATTTGATCAAAAGTATGTTACCGCCTCACATGGTACCAAAGATGTATAAAGAGGGAGATGATTATTTGGTCAATGTATAGTAAGATACTTTTTATATTAAAAAAAAAAAGAAAAAAGATATACATATGAAATAACATTATATCATTCTCCTGAAACACCATGGAACATTAACGTGACGTCGAGTATGTAAGTCCTTTCCCATCGTATGCGCAGTGGGACCACAAATCCATGGCCAATAAACACGACGTGGGAAAGAAAATTATACCAAGACGATACAAAATCTATCGGATTATGGAACTCTCCACAAACACTAGCAGTCGGCATCCATCAAATATGAAAGGCTTGTTTATTATATATTAATGTATATTTAGATGAGGCATCAGACTACTGTGTGATGGGAGCCAACCATTGTCTTATAAAACAGGTGGCTACTGTAAATGAACCACTGGAATATTCCTCACCATGCCATTGAAAATTAGAGGAGGAAATGTAGGACGATGGTTGGATGTGGTGCACCCAACTAGGCATTAAGTTCAAAATTGTTAAATTTTGGTATAGATTCAATCTAACTAGATTAACTTATGAAGCCTTCTTTCTATGAACAAAAAGAAAATTGAAACAAACAAATTATCTTAGAATCAAATTCAGACGCATAATATGATCTGAGTTCGAACTATTTACGAAATAGATAAATTAAACATGAGTAACTACATAAAATTAATAATAGTACAAGAAGAGAAAACTAAGGCTGTTTCCATGGGAATTGACCAATTAACCACTCAAATCTTAATAAAAAAAATAAAAATAAAATAAAAAAACTTTTGATTGATGTGAATGGTTGCTTAGTACTAAAATTAACAAGAAATTTAAGAAGACAATTATACAAGAAGGGCTTTGAAAATCAAGTCCAATGTAGCCTCATATTTACCTATCCGTTGATTAATCAAATTGATGTTATTGGTTTGTTTTCCTTTCGTATAGATAATCTATTGTATTTAGACTAATATATCTCTACATACAACTTTTTCATAGTATTCAGTACAAGAGCGAACACATAGTACTCCTAGGAATATGATAGTTTGTCCTAAAAGAATTACAACTCTTACGCACAAGAAGCAAGCCTCAAATTTGGTATGGTATGGTATTTGACCAAAAAAAAAATTGGTTTGGTATTTACTCTAGTTTGCATCAAGTAACTAATTAAAAATATTGAAGGTAGCTAAGAATTGAAAACTGAAGACAAAATTAGAGTAATCAACAGCTAGACAAAATAAGAAAACTAGACCATCATACCTTAGATAAGATCTTTATCTACACAGCACAAAAATAAAAGAAATACTAAAGAGAATGATTAAGCTTGATTTGCTTTGGATATAACTGTAGACATCGAAATTTCGGTAAATAAATGTTGACCGATAAATCAAAGTGTCAACGCTCATGTATTACATAAATTTTACACGTAGCGTGTGACTCAACGAAAATTGAAATGAGTTGGAAAAGTCATCAAATAGGACACGTGTCAACACTTGGCAGAAACGACTTATTTCATCTGGGATATTATATTCAAAATTAAGCCTTGGAAAATTCTATAAATACAAGCCCATTTCATTCATTTGGGGGACCAATTGATATTACACCTTGAAGCTCTGAAGCTCTGAAACTCCGAAGCTCTCAAGCATCCAGGTTCCCGAAGAATCAAGAAAGTGTTCTTTGTTCTTCGTCCATCGTTCTTCCAAGATCAAGCCTCGACGGCCCTTGGATCAACAATCATCCACCTTCAAGATCAAGCCCCGACGGCCCTTGAAGAAAGCGTTCTTCGTTCTTCGTTCATCGTTCTTCCAAGATCAAGCCCCAACGGCCCTTTGGATCAACAATCATCCACCAATTCAAGATCAAGCCCCGACGGCCCTTGAAGAAAGCACCATCGTTCATCATCCGTTCATCAAGATCAAGCCCCAACGGCCCTTTGGATCAACAACGTCGACAAATCCACACATCCAACCGTTCTTCAAGATCAAGCCCAAAAAGCCCTTGAAGATCCGTTCATCACTGTTCTTCAAGATCAAGCCCAAAAGCCTTTGGAGATCCGTTCATCACTGTTCTTCAAAGATCAAGCCCAAAAGCCCATTTGAAGATCCGCTCAAATCCACCTTCAAGATCAAGTCCACGGCCCTTGAAGAACGTTCATCCTTAGATCAAGCCCAACGGCCCTTTTGGATCAATCGCACATCCACAAATCAACACCTTACGGAGATCGAATCAGAGGATCAAATTAGAGAGAGATTGTAACCCAAAAATCATCAAATACTTAATATTTGTTTGTGCACGTTCGTTCTTGTCTCTTTCGTTTCAGGAATTTTCCGTGTTCACAAATTGGCACGCCCAGTGGGACCATCTCTGCCTCTCATCTCTTTCTCCGTTCAAGAAATTCAAGGGCACTTCCAAAATTAATGGCATCAAGGAAGGCTCAAACTGTTCCCGCAACCGGCGCAAATAACAAAAGCGTCCTCGTCGCAACTGGTGTCACTTTGGGCATCACGACTCGAAGCATGGCAAGAGCTACTTCTGCCGCCTCTTTCACCTCTGCATCAACTCTGCCAAGGGAACAAAAGCACCCAAGGCACGAGCCTTTGATCACCTTAGCCTCACTAAGGGCACCAAGGGGGGAAAGCCCAAGGAAATACTCCGAATCCATGCTCTCCGATGCCGATTCAAGTGACAGTTCAGCCATGCAAGTCATGACTGACCATGGTGGAGCAACTTCAATCGATGGAGCAGCTGGCTCAAATGAATGAAGCAATCGCAAGGCTAACCGACAACAGTGGAAGAAAAGACTTGCAAATTGCAGCACTAGTCAACCGATTGGAGGCACAAGACGGCGATAAACCCGACCCAGAGGATGATCCACTAAAGGGAGGAGCTGGCGGAGACGAAGAACCCCCGGTGAAGAAAATCGATGGGAAGCCGGAGCCAGACCAAGCAACGGCACTCATGGGATCTCTTTCTATCCAGCAGCTGCAGGAGATGATCACCAACACCATCAAGGCACAGTACGAAGGGAGCTCACATACCTCCTTGTTCTACTCGAAGCCCTATTCCAAGAAGATTGATGCCCTAAGAATGCCAAGGGGTTATCAACCACCAAAGTTCATGCAGTTTGATGGAAAAGGAAACCCAAAGCAGCACGTTGCACATTTCGTCGAAACTTGCAACAACGCGGGGACAGAGGGAAACTACCTCGCCAAGCAGTTTGTGCGCTCGCTGAAAGGAAATGCCTTTGAGTGGTACACGGACCTAGAGCCCGAGTCCATCAACAGCTGGGAGCAATTAGAGCGGGAATTCCTCAACCGCTTCTACAGCACCCGCCGCACTGTGAGCATGCTAGAGCTAACGAGCACAAAGCAGTGGAAAGACGAGCCAGTCATTGACTACATCAACAGATGGCGCACTCTAAGCCTCGACTGTAAAGACAGGCTATCGGAAACCTCTTCAATCGAGATGTGCATCCAAGGCATGCAATGGGGTTTGCAATACATTCTTCAAGGCATTAAACCACGGACCTTCGAGGAATTGGCCACTCGCGCCCATGACATGGAGTTAAGCATCGCCCATCATGGGAAGAAAGAGTCGATCGCCGACTACAAGAACGACAAAAGTTCTTGGGACAAAGGTGGAAAAGGCTGCATGGAAACCCACCAAGGAAGCGATGACGGTCAACACAGCTCCCGTCAAAATCTCACACACGAGGCAAGGCAATTCAAACCGAAGCTTTTCGTGATCAAGAGATGCGTAGACGCACTTTGAAGGAGCTTGAGGAGAAGATTTATCCATTCCCCGACTCTGATGTAGTTGCCATGCTGGATGACCTGACCTGTGGACAAAAGGTGATCAGTTTGCCTGAGTGCAGACGGCCGGAAGAGATGAATCGTACCGACAGTCTAAGGTACTGCAAATTCCACCGCTTCATCAGTCAGTCATCCGACAGAAAAATGTTTTGTGCTGAAAGATCTCATCATGAAGCTGGCTCAGAAAGGAATCATCGAGCTAGATCTTGACGATGTGGTGAAGTCAAACTATTACCACCTTTACTTCTGGCTCTTCCGACTCAAAGTTTTCACCTCAAACCACTGGGGGCATCCTCCAAGACAAGCAAAGTTGAAGGATGGACTCAAAGTCACTCCTAAGAAATTGTACAAGAAGCATACGTCTCCTCCACAAGTTCGCCAATCGGAAAGGGGGCAAAGTAGCTCTTGTCAACCTTCGAAGCAACGTGAACGTGTTAAAGATGATGAAATTTCAACATATAGATCGTCCATCCCCATCACGATGCGTGATTTCTTGCCCGAAGACTTCTTCAATCACTCGGTCAAGGC